TTATGCTATTATCACTGCCTCATCCCTTGGTTAGTAAGCTCACAAAGTACCTGGAAATGAGATGAAAGCCTGGCTTCTCTATTTTGCCTGATATCTGGCCTATCCTCCTTCGAAGCTGAGGGCATAGAGGTAAGAACATGATGACATATTCTATCAGATTTTACAAAGTCCAGTTCCACATTCCCAAATGGTGCCCACAAGTCTCCAATTTTATCCTAAACCTGCATTCATCTTGGATTCCAGAAATAGCAGAGCCTCCATAGGCAGCCCATCCATCTTGAGATAACTTCCAGAGACGAGCATTTGTTTCTAGGAATACGTTGAAAGACCGCAATGATCAGCTAGACCACAGTTTGACCAGAACTCATTAAAGATGCCTACCCTGCCCCAGTTCTCTCTCTAATCAAACCTAAAGTTCGTGCCAGTACTCCAAAGGTAGTCTAAGAAGTACTTTGTCTTTCCTTGTGTTCGTTTGCTCCGATTTGTACCTGCTTCTACTATATTGAGATCCTAAGTCTCACTGCTGGCCCAGGACTCCAGACACACAGTGATAACTGGAATGTGACTAACTAATCTAAAATACATTAGATTTTATATTAAAAACAAATTCTATAAAAATAAGATGTCTGAAAATCTTATGCAAGATTTGTGATCTCTACAATTATCTTCAGTTAGAGAGTAAGAACTTTTTAAAAATAACTTTAGTAACTTAAATTGATTCCAAGTTCTCAATGCATTTTACACTTTTGTCTTTGACCAAAAAACTTAAGTGTTTTATTTCAGTGGAGATTGAAGTAATTCAGTCTCAGTTAATTTACTTATACCATTATGAAATTTAAAATATATTCATTTTAAATTGATCATCAATGTTGAGTAAAATTAGTTTCTGAGACTTTTAGGAAAGCTAAAGATATTAATTGTTCTCTCAAAACAAACAAAATTGGTAATTTAGGGGAACTATAAAAGAGATAAGCTGGAATACTAAAAGCATTCCCAATTCATTATCATTCATATATATATATATATATATATATATATATATATATATATATATATATATATATTCTTAACTTCATCATTATGCTTTGATAGGAAGGAAATATGCAGTTAATTTTTAATTTAATTACCCATCTGCATTAAACAGTTATGAGTATGGAAGATCTAAACTCAACAGGTAAGAAATGTTCTAATGGTTTGTCCTGTCCTGAGAACAAGAAGGCTGGGCCACAGGTAGCCTTGACTGATATTTTAAAGTTAATTGATATGTTGGGATATAGAAAGGGTAAATACTTGGAAGAGAAATAAGGGTTTGCTAGAGGAGTTCAATTCAACACTGGAATTTCTCTCTTTATTTCTACATTTATTTATTCATTCTTAAAATTACTAAGATGTCACTGGAACCTCATTCCCCAAGGTGATGGGGTACCTTGTTTTCAGCATCCTCTTAGGATTTTATTTTCCTCTCACAGGTACCTCCCCATTGAGTCTACCATCCTGAAAATCCCATCCAGAGAAGCCCCATATGTATTGCTCTCTTCATATCCTTTCTCTTTTTCTTCATTTGGTAAATCTGGTCTCTGTGGGAAAGACAGCAGCCATTTCACTTCAGAAGGAAGTCTATTTTAAGTAACAGCTGCTTGGGGGAAGTGTGCAGACTTTAATCCTTCATCCTCTTTTCTAACAATGCTAGTTGGCATGCAGTCAGCAGGAAAGTAAAACTGGAGCTTTCAGAGAAAAATTCTCAGCAGAAAGCCATGGCCCATTATGACGTGAACAAAGGCAGTTCCCCTGGAATCATTTTCCAGGAAAGCATGTTATGGCACTGTGACTTTATTACAAAAGAAGGGATGACAGAAGAAGAAAAATAGAGAGGGGAATATAAAAGAAAAAGAAAACAAAACCAAGATAGGAAGTAATAAACAATTCTCTCTCTCTCTCTCTCTCTCTCTCTCTCTCTCTCTCTCTCTCTCTGTGTATGTGATAATTTGTATAGCTTCTTGGCTTCTCGTATTTAGTGAATGAACAGATGATGGATCATGAGAATACTCTCCATACCATTAATTCTGACTTAGTCAGTTTCCTTCTTAATGAATGTTCCTACCAATGAGTCATTATTTCTGTTCATCATCTTTAGGTCACAGAATACAATGACTGTAGTTGTTGTTGTTGTTGGGCTTGTTTTTTTTTCTCTTTGAGGGCTCATCACCCAGCTCCCAAATAAATACACAGAGAATAAATACACTTATTCTTACTTATATTCATAAGTAAGACTATAGCTTAGCTTGTTTTTTGCCAGCTTTTCAAACAACATAATCTGTTGTTGGATTGTCATCCTATTGGACATTTAAATAATAACTCTTTTAATTATTCCAATGAACTGTTCCCTGTTTTGCTCTAATATTTAGTAAATAAATACTTTAAAACACATATCTCAGGGAAGAGCATGCTTCTCGGTCCTTAGAATGGAAAGCCATTACTTTGTTTTCACGGCCGAGTAAAGACATCCTTCTGGCTCTTTAGACTTTTGTCAAATCTGATCCAGTCCCTGGGCACATATTTTGTCCTGTCATAACTTAGTGTAGAAATATTCTTCTTCAAGGGTTCTAATCACTTTCTCTACCTTCCTTTCTATAACATTAATATTCCAAATACATGGTCTTAATCAAATTATTTATCTCATTTATTCTTTATGGATAAAATCATTTCTTCTGTATTGATGAAACTAGTAGGTATGTTGAATTATCAAGCTTTTGTAATGATTGGCATAGCTGGTGTCTTACATCTCATGACTCACTTGAGAATTTTCAAACTCTAACATATGTCTTCTTTCAAAATCAGAACCAGATAATTTTAAGTGCTTTCATATTTGATCTCATACAAGTTTAATCTCTAACATTGATTTTTCCTCTATGAGTAGCTTACAGATAAACCTTTAGTCTGAATGTAATGTAACAATGATTATATTCTTCTTTTCCAACTTTCCTTGGACTCTGTTTCAGGATTAAATGATGTGGTTAGACACTTTAATTTTGGCATCTAAAACTTGTAAGGCTACCATAATTATGGAAATTGTTCAGAGTACATTGATTCAGAGCATTTCAAAATTCAGAAAATTTTCTTGAAAATTTTTACAATTGTCAGTTTTCTTTGGCATCAAATAAAGCTGATAGGCTAATGACCCCATGACATTCCTTTCTGTGCTTTAATGTGTATGCCCATGTCTGTGTATGTGTGCTGATGCTTACATTTCAATTAAAGAATTGAGTTTTATCTTTGCTCTTTACATCTGCCTTTCACCCTTTTAAATGACCCATAATTGTTCCATCTTTTATCTCATCACTATTCAAACTTTTTGCTTCTACAAGTACATCTTCCTACTTCCCCAGCTCTGACTAATTTCAAGCACTGGCATTTCCTCACCTATAATGCCCTCTACTGTTTTAAAGCTCACTTCTGCCCTCCTTTATTTTGTGACCATTTATTGTACCCTGATGGTAACAATTTCATTAATTTTTTACAATGTTTGATGAATGCATGCTAGATGTGTGCTGAGTAGGTGTGTAATGTTAAAAGCATGTGCGACAGTACAGTGTGACAAGGATCAAGAAAGAAAAAACCTTAGCGTCATGAAAGAAGGACATGTAGGATGTCACAAAGGGACTCAATCCAGAAGGGGCTTCAAAAGAACTTTTGCAAATAAGTTAGTCATGTGAACAGTAGATAAGGAAATTTTCTAGGATTGTAGAAAACATTTTGGTTATTCAAAGACAAATCAGAGACTATGGAGATGGCTCAGGATCTGCCATATTAGAATGAGCATGCGCACAGATCTCCAGCACCTACATCAGAAGTGAGCTCTGCTTGCATTTGCAATCCGCCACTGGAGAGCAGAGACAGGACAAGTTCTCTCCTTCAGTCAGAGACCCTGCTTCAAAACATAAGGTAGAAATTCACTTGGTAAGATACCTTTTGGACACACAAGCCAATAAATACATATGTGTACACATGAAGATGTACATATACATCACCAGTAGCAACAGCAGTCATTTCCCTGAAAGAAGCTTTCCAAGCATGTGCAAAAGCGTGGAAGATAGAGAGAAAAGGCAGGGGTAGCTGTGCAGGGTGCTGTCTGAATACTCCAGCTGTTTGTCTGTCACTGAACTGGTGTATTTTTGAGATTTTGTGGTTTCTGATATGACTTTTATGCTACTATCTTGGACCGAGAACAAGAGTGCTGTGTTCTACTTTCACTGTAACCTGCTTCATGTTTGAGTCCATAAACCAATGCACACATAATGGCATGCTGTACCCTTACTGACTCATGGTAGGTGCCAAGGGCAGTAATGGTAATACATTTCCAACTTCATTAAAGAGAGTGAAGATTAACATACATGTTGTTCCTGTGACCATGAAGTCAGAATATGATTATTATAGTATTCTACTGGCAAACATTCAATTTCAGCCTGCTTTTGGTAAATTTTGCAGCATGGTACATATGTTAAGATATGCAACTGTACTCAGTAGGAGTACTGTGTTCTGAAGCATACTTAAGCCTGGATGACTAGAACCAGAGGCCCTGGCTTACCCTTAGGAGTCAGGCTTTGATAGTAAGTTGTCGGGCATCCTCATCTGAGAGAAGGGAACTGAAAGGTAAATGGTAAAATCAGCATAGAACATTGATATGTAGGGCTGGAGAGAAGGCCCAGCTTTGAAGACACTTTACCACTCTTAAAAAGGACCAGAATTTGGTTTCCAGGCCCACTTCAGATGGCTCAATACAGCCTAGAACTCCAGCTGTAGGGGATCTGAAACCTCTGGTCTGTGTAGGCACTTACATGCACCTACCCACACACAGAAACAGACACTCCCATACATACACATAATATCAATAAAATAAATGTTATATATATAACAGTAAAATAATAGTTCTCAGAATTCAGTGTTATATATATATATATATATATTTCTTATTTTTCTGGTGAAAGCCAAGAGTCAAAGAACCTAAGAGGGAGAAAATGGAAATTCAAATAAATCCCCATTATTTTATGAATTTCTACTTTCATTTGCAAACTATAAATTAAAGATGAAATTCCAATTTATGGCTCATCTTAGAGCTTGTGTTTCCTTGAGGTACAGCAGCTACTGTCAGTTAACTCTATTTCCTATTATAAAAATACGTAGATATCAGTAATCCTTGCAAATAAGGACTGGTCTCTACGACTGAACAGATTAACTTTTTTTTTCTTTCAACATTTTACAATGAGCTTTTGCTCTCCTGGAACTTGCTACATGGACCAGGCTGGCCTCAAATGCACAGAGCTCTACCTGCCTCTGCTCTCCCAGTGCTTGCATTGTGTGTCACCACACTCACTCAGTCTGAAATAACGTATTTAAATCTCCCTGTTAAGTCCTGTGCAGTGATGCCTAGCTGAAATCCCAGAACTTGGGAGAGAGTACAGAAAGCACAAGTTCCAGGCCAGGTGGGCTACATAGTGTGACCATTTCTTTAAGAAAGGAACAAATGATAAGTGAATAAAACAATGAATAAATATGTAGGCATACCTGGTGTCAAACAACAGCTAGTGTCTCTTTCTACCTGAGCCGAAAGACAGACAGACAGAAAGAAAGAAAGAAAGAGAGAGAGAGAGAGAGAGAGAGAGAGAGAGAGAGAGAGAGAAGGAGGAAGGAAGGAAGAAAGAAAGAAAGAAAGAAAGAAAGAAAGAAAGAAAGAAAGAGAGAGAGAAAGAGGGAAGAGGAAAAGAAAGAGGAAGAAGGAGAATTGTTCCTTATTTTATGTTCATCATCCATCATTCAGTGTTTAGTAGAGTCACACATTATTTTTAATCTCCATCTTCATTTCCTGATATTGATATTACTCCATTTTAACTCCATTTAACTCAACTGTACAACACAGGTTCTGATGCTGTTCATTTCCTCTATTGAGAAAATACTGTGCTTAAATTTTTATTATATATCTCTAAGAGAAACAGAACACTAAAAAGAAAAGAAAGCAAGCAAACAAAAAAGACAGAAGAGAAAAATTGCCTCTGAATCATGGCGTGTTGTTAATACCACCAACATGGGAAAGAGTCAATATCCAAACTGAAACAAAGCCTTGTGTTGTGAAGCAGGTTGGTAGCAGGACTTTGGAAGAAAGCATGTGAGCTCACTTCATAGTAAAACAGGTCCTGCAAGACTAGGTAACTCGGGAAGCCAAATGGTAATTATTCACAGAAGAAAGCCGGTAGTGTACTGTTACAATACTCCTGGAGCAAGTCAGAAGGTCACAAGGCTTGCGGGGTAGCTGACACAACCTGAAACTGCTGGGGCCCCTTACAAAGAAAGAATAAAATGGGAGACAATGAAGCTGGCTTACCTAACATGTCTTTGCAAGGTAAGTGCCAACAGCCTTTGAAATGTTCTCAATCAGAAACTTCAGCAGTGTTGTTAACTCTGTGCGTGTGTGTGCCTGCACGCGTGTGTGCTTCTGTCCATGTGTCACCATTGAGTTTTGAGGTATTTCTGAGGAGCAGGTAGGGAGCGGGGATTGTTGCTAAGTGGAAGGTGGATGTTGTGGCTGCTGCGCTCGCTCCTTTAACAGAGGAGCACAAGCGTAGTGGAAAGTAGATAAAACCGTGTAATCCGTGTGACACTGAAGACTTGGTGTCTCTGGGCTCCGGTGGGTTTTCAGGGGTGCGTTTCCCAGCACTGGCAGGGTATTTATTTTTGTGTGTACACGTGGATGTTTTTGTAATCAAGCACTGTCATCGCTATCACTGAGGTTTACAAGTTAAGTGTCCTTGTAATCAGTGTAACTCCAGTCTTTAAATGAAGAAAACCGTCTCAGAGGGCCAGCTTATCAGCTGGAGGAGTGGTTTATTTTACATGTCTTACTTAATCAGATACCTTTGCCCTTTGAAGGGCTGGCTTTATTGACTTTGGCTAGACTAGGCAACCATGCTTAATTTCTTGGAAACAAGAACAGGGTGGCTCACACATTTCCTTGTTTTTACTTTTTTTTATTATATTTTTTGTGAAATTCTTTTCTCAGAAAATAAATTAATAAATGAATTCCCCTAGTATTTTTTGCAATGTTTCTATTATTCTACTCTGGAAAATTACCAGCTTTATAAAATAAAATTTTGATCAGAACATAATTTTTAAAATGTATTTGATAATTGCTTTTTGTTTAGATTATTCTTATGAAATTATAAAAAAACTGTCAGCAAAAAATTTGTAAAATATTAAAATCTTCATTCAGATAAACTAATCAAAATAGCTGCACATGGCTTTAATCTCAGCACTCAGGAGGCAGAGACATGTGGATCTCTGTGAGTTTGAGGCTAGCCTTATCTACAAAGCAAGTTCCAGAACACCAGGGCTGTTACACAGAGAAACCCTGTCTCAAAAATAAAATAAAATAAGCATACATCTGTGAAATATAACACAGTTGAAAACAAAAATCCTATGGTTTATACCTGCTTGATAATTAAAGTACATCGTTCAATTTACAGATAAATTACTGAATTTTTTTTTAGTTTCATTAATCTTCACTATACTTGCTTAAGAATTATAGAATCTTATTTTTATATCTTTGTATCTTTTCTAGACTACCTTTTGGAATACTGTGTAAAGTGCTATTATTAAAAAACACTCTTAATTATAATTAATAAAAACATTATGTGATGAATCTAATTTAGATTTAAAGGCTCATTTACCAAAAAGTCTCATTTAGAATGATTGTGAGAGCAATTTACTTGTATTAATTTTATTAACCAAGAGGTATAATATATATCATATACATGAGGTGATATATATGCATATATATCATATTATACACACACATATATACATATATGTATATATCTTAACTCTAAGTAGTAGTATTCCTTGGAAAAGTATGAGAGAGATGCCTGGATTATAAGGCATTTCATAAATTGATTCTCTGTAAAATATAGATGGCTGCTGGCATCCGAGAGCCTCTTGTAGGCTCTGCTGGTGCAGTGAACAGGGCGAACATAAATGTAGGAGGAACATACCTCTCCCACACCTTCACCACCTCTGTGTATGGGGACAGCAGTCAATATGTTTGCGTCTGAGCACGGGAATATAGATTGTTTGCTGTTGTTCCCTTTTTCTCATACTTCCATACTACATTTCTGACAGAGTATGCTTTCCCATTCTCTCTCTCTCTCTCTCTCTCTCTCTCTCTCTCTCTCTCTCTCTCTCTCTCAATATATATAATGCTTATATATACACATATATATGTGTGTATATGTATGTATATACTTTTTCCATATATATCCTGTTATATATATATGTGTATATGTATATATACACACATATATCCTGTTATATGTGTACAAAATATATCACTTTCAGAATTTATAATCCGAATAAATCAGGAAAACATGTACAGATTTGACCTAAAAGGAGGAATGCATTGAGTCGGCTTACTGCTATGGTTCATGCTGGAGAACAATGCTCTTGGCCCTGCAGGCCCATGGAAGTCGGAGAGCCCTGTGGATCTGGTTAACATGGGTCATTTTTTCCTTAGGTGGGTCTCAGTGACTTTTTAGTAACACGTCCCCTGTCCTCTTCTAATTGTATCTCAGTTCAGTTGTAACCTTTGCAGGTCTACGGAGAGTTCAGACCTAGCTTCTTGGAGTGTTGAGATGCTGTCATTTCAGTCTGGTTCACATGAAAACAAACACCTTTGAGAGCTATTGGGGAGCAAAGCAACTTCAGTGTTTTGTACTATTTCTAAATTATTTACAAAATAAAGAAATCAATGTAGGGATAATTTCTAGTTTTACTTATGTGTATAAAGATAAGATATTTTGCTCAGTTTGCTTACTACCTATAGAATCAAATACAACCTAGAGTCTTCATCTACATAATACCCTAATGTTATATTGTCAATGCCCTACCCAGTCCTATATCTGAAACTGAATTTCAAAATGATGAAAATAAATGGAATAAAAGTATTTTCAAAGATTAATTTTGTCTTTTACTTAACAGCACATATTTTTAAAAAATTATTCTGAGCTGGTCATGGTGACTCACCAATGTAATCCTAGCCCTTGTAAGGCTGAGGTAGGAGATGTTCCAAGAGTTTACACTAGCCTGGGCTACACAGAGTCCCAGAGTAACTTAAGTTATAGTGTGAAACCCTGTTTCAAAAGAAAGAAAGAAAAATTAAAACTCCCAAGTTACTTGAAAATGGGCATTTTCTGTTTGAAATACTATGTTCAGGTATTGTTCTTCAGACATGAAATCCATAGCTGAATGACAAGTATTTGTCTTTGAGGATCTTTTATTATTATTACTACAGTCCTTATATGTATCTTTAATAATTTTCTGAAGTCTTATGTAGACTACTGGATATGCTGGACCATCTCTAGGCAGAAATGGAGGGTGCTAGAGTATAAATATATGGCTAAAATGTGTTGGTTGGAATGTATCTTTGACAGAAGGCAGCCCGGGTGGGGAGGTGTGTGTGCTATGAGTGTTCTACTATCTTAAGTAGGTTAATGCCACTATAGGAAAGGCTGTTGATGTCCTGTTACCCTTCTACCTTCTGCCATGTGAAGATGCAGCAAGAACTTGATGCCAAATGCATACAGTTGATCATGGACTTCATATTCTTCAGAACTGTGAATAGTAAAGTAGTACTAATTATAAATTCCCAGTCTATTTCATTATTTTATAGCAGCACAAAATAGCCTTTGGTCAAGTGCTAGCCATAGATATATCAGATTCTTCATTTTGCTTGTATTTCATGTATGTATATATGTGTGTGTGTATGTATATATATATGTACATATGTGTGTATATATGCATACATACACATATATAGCAGTACTTATTTATATATTATAGCACTTTATATATAATATATATAGTATATTCATGAAATAGCACAAATATAGTACATCTATCATATGTATAAAATGTATTAATCACACACACACACACACACACACACACACACACACACACACACACACGGCCCAGTCAAGTACCTGGTTGTACATGTTCTTGTTACTGAAGCCCCGACACTATTGATCTTTCATATTTCAACAGCATGGGAAACTGGGCTTTTGTAGTTAAGTTAATCCAATTCTATCTTGAGTTTAATATGAAAGGATTTTAATTATCTTTCCAAACACGAAAAGCAATTTGTTTGAGTCTCCATATCAGAGTGGCCAGACAGAGAATTTAAGATATGAATTTTATGATAGATGTTCATAATATTCCCAGGATTTAAGTGTGAATTGTGTAGGTTAAGACAGAATGACAGCTATGAATAGCATACATGATAGTGGGTCATAAAGAGCAGGCATGTGCCTGTTATTTGCTGAGGAGTGGAAGAACCATTTTCTTGTATTTTGTGTGTAACTGTTGATCTGCCTGTTGGTCTGGAGCATGAATGGAAGCCATTGGTCAGTGACTGGGTGAAGTGCAGCTCCTTTACCAACTACCTAAAAGATGCTGTAGTCCAGGATTCTCCACACCTCTTTCTTCCATGAATGGCTTACATATTCTGCTTCTCTATGTATCTTCTTAAAAAACAAGAAAGAATCAAGAAAAACTGTGAAGAAGATAAAGACTGTGTGATCACCCGGTTTATGGAGCTTGCCTGATCACCCCTACCTCAGAATCAGCCCCTGTGAACGTTTCTGAGCTGTTTCTCAGGCTTTATCCTTAGTTACACATTTCCAAGCCTCCCTGTAAAGGGCATGGCATAATAACTCACCCTGGAGATTACCAAGTAAAACATATTGCTGAGTTCTGAGCTCTCACCAGGTGAGAGGAGGTCTTGAGGGGAGAGTCTCCTCTGCTCCTCTACACACGCCCAGTCTACCAGTTGCTTGCCTCACAGCAGTGTGGGTTCTCTGGGAGCTTGGAATAGCAGCTCTCCTTCCTGCTTTGGTTCCTTTTGTTCTCTAGTTCTAGGAAACAATTATGTACAGTCTATAAAAGGATAGGGCTCAGCAGGGAAGAAAAGACAAAACAAAACAAAACACTGTTCTGAGTCCAGAGGAGTTGGCTGAGCCCCGAGAAAGACAGTGCAGCTCTGGAGAGCAGAGCATGAGAAGAGTCAGGCCAGAGGAAAGCTTGGAAGACATGGAGTCCAGTAGATACCTTGTGTGGAGTAGGAAACAGAAATCCTATGAAATTGAGAAAAAGTGTCCTTGTTTTCACAGAAGCATTTGTCAGAATTTCATTCTCCACTGTAACCACCCAGAGCCTGTAATTTTATTCAGGACTTGGGGGCATTATTTTCTAGAAGCATTTACTTTCCAAATCCATAGTAAAAGCCAGGCTTCCAAGTGCTTTCAACAGTGACATATTTTAGGTTTTGTATTTATGACCTGGAAAACAATGTCC